GGGGAGAGACAGAGAGGGACAGAGAGAGAGAGAGAGAGAGAGAGAGAGCGGGAGAGGGAGAGAGGGCGAGTCTGCCAAAAAGACCGTGCGATGCTCCGATGCCCGGGCCGAGGTGTTTCGGCTTCGACGGCGAGGGCTCTGAGGAGCTGCTTGCAGCTTTGGCCCGCTCCTGGCAGCTGGAGGCCTCCGTCTCTTCCAGGGGCAGCTCAGAGAGAAGAGAGCTACGCCTCTCGCTTCCGTCCCGCAGCGGCCGCCAGGAGGTGGATTTCGATTGGTGCGATGCGATCCCCGACGCGGCCTGGGAGCTGCTGGGCGACGGGGCGTGGCCTGGCCTCCGCGTTGCAAAAGGCGTCCCGGAGGAGCACCAGCAGCGCCTGCGCGAAGCTTCTCTGGACCTCGAAGTGAGTGCAGGCGGGTGGAGTGTGAGAAGCGTCTCGTTTTGTCTCTGGCTCTGGCTTTGGGTTCCGCCTCAGTCGAGAGATCCGGAGCCCACGGAGCGACCACACTGTCCTTGTCTCATGTGCAGCTACAGGAAGTAAGACTGAGTACTGTAGGAATGCAAGGCATGCATGGATGGATGGATGGATGGGATGGACGCATGCGTGGATGTCTGTCTGGGGACCGGAAGCTTAGAGGTCGAAGCCACGGAGCTTTTCGGACAGTCCAAGCGTCTGTCTGCAGATCACCTGAACGCCGCACCCTTCCGATCCACGCAGGCGAGGCTGCCTCCAGCACAGGCAGTGACAGCAGCGCAGGCAGTGACAGCAGCAGTGAGGGAGACGATGCTGGGCTGCAACCCCTGCTCCTGCCCGCTGATCGTGTTGTGTGAGGGCTGCGAATCCGGGTTCCATGCGTGCCAACTTGAGGGGCAGGGCCTGGGGAACGAAAGCTATAGGTGGGTCTGGGTGGATTCACAAGGCGTGCGCAACGCGAATGCCGAGGGCCAAAGGGAAGAGTATGTGCGGGGCGCGGTCTTGCGCAGGGGAGGGCAGGGGCGGCGGAGGAAAGCACGGGAGTGGACAGGGGCAGGACAGCAGGTTGGGGAAGATGTGGGGTAGGGTGTTTTTCGACAGGAGAACCGGAGCAGAGGAGTTGCATTTTTTTTCGGCGCATGGTGCAGTGCTTGCAGTCGACGACCTGATGCCTCAGGCGACGGCCTTAACAGCAGGCTCCACGGAGCTGCAGGAGACCGGTGCCAAGCAGTTGCCGATGTACCCGGCTTTCATCACCTCCGTGGTGATGCCGGGAGAGGGCGGCACAGCGGCAGTTCAGGGGGACCTCGACCTGCTGCCGGCTTTGGCCGGCTCCGATGTCGAGGACGGCAGGTTGAAGGGCAGCTGGTAGTTCATGTACGTAAGTTCATGGTCAATGGTGCCTTCAATCGACCTCTGAGTAACTTGCAGCGTGTATGGGTGGTGGTTGATGCACGGATCTGAGCCTTTCAGGGTCAAGCAACTTTCAAGATCTGAGGGCGGAGCGGAGAGGAGAGGCACCTTGACAAACCTCGCGGCCAGGAGCTGAACTTGGATCTCTGCAGGGACGTCCCTGCCGCCGTGTGGCAGCAGCTCGGCCAGGCTCAGGGTGAGGTGTTCCAGAAGCTGCGGAAGGCAACCTTCAAATCGCGCCTCGGAGAGCAGAGTGCTTTGCGGCTCTCCTTTTGTTGCAGGGATGTGGGAGGAAGGGCCTGCGCTTTTCTCTTTCGCTTGCGAGGTGCTTCGCCGGGGGTTCCAAGGGGGCCGATGGCGCCGCCGGGCTGCTGTTGGCCTTGAGCCGCTGCCAGCTGCTGCAGGACATGCGTAGCTTTCTGGGTCTCGTCGGAGCTTCGTCGGGTTTCTTGCGACCGAAACCCCAGCCCACTCTTTGAGCTCGAGCCACGAGGTGCTGATGATGACGCTAGTCAAAGGATATTTGCTCAGTGGTTAGTTAGCTGCGCGTAGAACCGCGATTGCAACAGGGAAAGTCCTGGAGCTTCCGACACCCCATGCGAGCCCAAACTCCGCTGCAGAGCAGAGCACCGGAGACCCGGCTCTCGGCCAGGAGTTGGGCATGGCGGACTGCGGCAAAGTCCCGGCCGCGGCCTGGCAGCTCCTGGCAACCGCGCGCTGGGAGCAGCTCCGGAAGGCGGATTTCTCTGAGCGCCTCGGAGGGCGGGTTTTTAAAAGAGGGGATCCTTTCTCTGAGGAGGCTTCGCTTCTATCAGAGGATGCGGTTCCCAGGCCTCGTTTTGTCAGAGACCCGCCTGCTGCGACCGAAGTGCCGCCGAATTCATCGAGGTGCTTTGGCCGTGCTTCCGAAGGTGCCGCGGGAGTCGGAGGGCTGCTCTCGGCCTTGGCACGCTGCCGGCAGCTGCAGGACGCGTCGGCGCGCGAGTTCGATTCTGCTTGCAGCTGTAAGGCTTCTGAGGGAGCGGAGGCCGTGCTGAGGCGAGCGAAGTTGATGGTGGTGGATGAAGCTTGAAGCCAAAATTGATTGGGCTTGCTACCTGGTGGTGGGTGGTGCTGCTCCTTTCGATCCTCACTCGTATTGGAAAGCTGCGAGAAGGCTACATTCCTCGTTTCCGGGAACCTCGCTTCGGTCCAAAGCCCGCAAACACCGGAAAAGATTCAGCCGTTCTTGGGACTCGAGGCGGGTTTCTGAACGGATTTGAGAAGAGAGGCGCCCTCCGAAAGCGAGGACAGCCAATCCGATCCTGCCGGCCAGGAGCTGCTGATGGGCCGCTGCTCTCAAGTCCCGGCAGCGGCGTGGCAGCAGCTGGAGGGCGCCCATTGGCCGAAGCTCACGACGGTGAACTTCGACGGGCGCCTCGGCTTTTGGGCGCCCGTTGGAGTGTGTGTGGTCTCGTCGAGATGGTTGTTGGGGTGCAAGGGGATGTGGGAGTGGAAGAGGTGGCATGGCGACCCAGCCGTTTCACAGGAGCGGTCTAGCAAAGTGTCGTGGTGTGCTTAGCTCAGAGCCGTGAAGCCTGTTCTTTCGCACTCGACGCTTCGTGCCGGCGCGGTGGGTTTGAGGCGGCCGGCGCCAAGCCATTTCAGTGGGAAGATTCGATGTTCTCAGGGACAGATAGAACCTTGGTAATTGAGTTTGTGGACTGCAGACTTCGTGGGCTTATATATAAGGCCCGTCAAAATAAATGGACTGTTTCAAAGCATTTTGGCAAATGCGAAGTCCACAGCTGAGTAGCAGAAGCACAGCGAGGGTTCCAGCCCGAGGTGCTTCGGCAGCGAGTGCAAAGGTGTCGAGGCTTCTGCCATCCTCCTCTCAGTCCTCGGTCGCTGTCCCGAGATGCAGGACGTGACTGCCCACCTTTGCACAAGACAGTCTGTGAAGTCTTGCAAGCTGCTTTTTTTTTGGACCGTGCGCTCTTCGGGTTTGCGCGGGGCAGAGGGCGACCGGGCAAGCACCAGACATGAACAGCTGTCACAAAGCAGCAAGAGAAATATGCATGGGATTCCGCAACAATGCTCAGAGTGGAATGGAGCTCCAAAGCGCTCCGGTGGAGAGAAGCGAAATCTGCGATCTGCGAAAGCTCCCCAGCGAGAAGGAACGAACAGGGGGAGCCGTCCGAGCAATTTTGGGGGGTTGGGGTTGCACGCAAGCCACGGAACTTCGGCGGCCGAAGCTCACCTCACGTCGATCGTGCGAGATGTCCCGGCTTAACACGGAGTGCTGCCCGCTGTGTACTTTCGAGGAGAAGCCGTGGTACCCGGAGCCAAGGCGGCGGTTCTATGCCCAAAGCAGCCGTTGCTCTTCTCTCCACTCCTGTCCATTCGTTTCCTTTCCTCACCTGTCCACTCTTCTCCACTCACCCGCTCCCTGTTCTCCAAAAGCCGGCTGAGTGCCAGGGTTCAACACTCAAGAAACGCAGAACAAAGAATATACAATCATCGGCGGAGTGCAGATCTTTAGGCTCGAGATTTGGCATGGTTGCGCTGACTAGTTCATCCGAAGGAGCCGAGATGTGACTGCGAGAAACAGTCCGACTTTGCCAGGAACTCATACATCTCCCAAGCCCCGCTCGACGAACATTGAGAAATAATGCGCGACGAGGGCGGAAATGTACGATAAAGGGGCCGCCAGGTCTAGCTGGCCCTTCCTGGAGTGATGCAACGATGCGGCGACAATGGGACATTACACAAAGAGCTTCAGCGGTAGGTTGCACTGGTGCCCACATTCATGCATACAGCAGCAGGCTGGATGGAGAGTTGTTAATTCCTCTAGGTTTTCAGTGATTGCCCACAGGGACCCAACCTGAAGCGAATGCGGCATGCGCGGCGACATGTCACCAAGAAGGTGTGCATTGCGACTGCGCACCCTCGCCCATGCGAAGAAGGGGAAATGTCCTCGCGTCTGCAAGTGGACTTGGAGTCACAGCCGAGAAAGCTTTCCCCCTCTCTGGTATTACCCCGAAACGCGCGGGGGCACGCCACCTGACTGGCCAGGATCTGAGCATGTACGGCTGCAACCAGATCCCTGTTGCGGCCTGGCAGCAGCTCGAATGCGCCACGTGGCAGAAGCTCACGAAGGTAGACGTCTACAGGTGCCTCGGCTTTTGGGCACTTGTTGGAGTGTTCTGGGATTCTGGGATCCTCTCGTGGAGATGGTTTGAGGGGGTTTGAGGGAGATGTGGGCTCGGTGCGAGACTTTAAGGTGGCAGACACCCAGGCCCAGCCATTTTACGGCAAGCTCGTGGTCTGAGAAGTTGTCTTCGAAAAAAGCAACCGAAGCTCGAGATTCTTTCGGCACGGATTTCTCACCCAGTGCCGGCCCAGGTGCTTCGACGAAGATTCGAAGGGAGCCGACGGCGCGGCGGGGCTTCTTGCGGCCCTGGCCTGCTGCCCTGAGCTGCAGGACGCGGTCGCATTGCAGTCCAAAAGCCCTAGCAACGAGGATGTGGACGATGGTGACAACAACGATGAGTTGTTGGTGGTGGTGATGGTTGTCATGATGAGTCGCAGTATCATGACGAGTATACTGTTTGTATATTTGTATTCTGCTGATCACCGATCTTGCCGATGCCGTAAGTCTTGGTGAGGGCGAAAGGAGCTTTGGTGCTTATCCGTAAATGTCCCGCTCCCTGAATGCAAAAGGCCTAAGAACCAGTCGTAAGCTCTGCGAGCCCTCATAAGCCTGCCGAGTTGCACGGGCCTGAAGGGCATGGCCCGTGACCAAACTCATGCATAGCAGGCTGGAGGGAGAGTTGTTAGTTCCTTAAGGTTTTCAGTGGATGCCCGTCGCGAAGCTCACATCCATGGAGCAAGGGGTCGCCGCGCGAAGCGTGGAAGTTCCGTCGAGAAGAGAAGCAGGCACCCAACCTGAAGCGAATGCGGTGGCTCACGCCCGTTCCGTTCCAAGAGAGTCTTTTTCCCTGTCGGGGCCGGGGAGTTGGATCTGCGTTCGCAACGACATGTCACCAAGAAGGTGTGCGTTGCGACTTTCCGCCGCCAGGATTCACGCCGGTTTTGATCCTCAGAGTTTCGGAGTTTCAGAGCCTCGGAGGGTCCGGGGGCATCTCGTCCAAAAGACTGCTTCGTACTCTTCCCAACTTCAGCAAGGCGCGAGGCCGCCGCCGCCACCTTCGCAAGTCCAGCTCGGGTCCTAGCCGGGAAAGCTTCCCCTCTTTAGTAATACCCCGAAACAGGCGGGTGAGCAACCAATCTGGCCCGGGCGGCCAGGAGCTTCGGATGGGCTGCTGCTCTCAAATCCCGGCGGCGGCGTGGCAGCAGCTGGAGTGCGCCCATTGGCCGAAGCTCACCAAGGCGAACTTCACGTGGTGCCTCGGCTTTTGGGCGTTTGTTGGAGTGTGTGGTCTGGTCGAGATGGTTGTTGGGGTGCGAGGGGGATGTGGGAGCGGTGCGAAACTTCGAGGTTGTAGACATCCAACCGTTTCACAAGAAAACACCCGAGAAGTTGCTCTTAGATACAAGTAGCAGAAGCGTCCGAAGCTCTTCGGCACAGATTTCTGATTCAGCTTTGGCCCAGGTGCTTCGGCGAAAATTCCAAGGGCGCCGATGGCATAGCCGGGCTCCTCACGGCCCTGTCCCGCTGCCCTCAGCTGAAGGACGCGAGCTCGTTGCGTTGCACCGACGAGCCTTCGGGGGGAAGGGTCGCCGCTGCCATCACAAGGCCGGCCGAAGCATGCCGCCGGAGGCCTCCTAGCAGGAAACTTACATGAAACCTGTTACCGTCATGCTCATGTTGCTGCTGCTGCTGCTGCTGCTGCCGCTGCTGCTGCTGCTGCAGCTGCAGAGGACGAGGACGATGCTGACGCTCAAGATGGTTTGGTGGTGAGCGTGATCAAGCTGACTAGCATCGACGTGGGTAGTAGTTCTTTATTGAAAAAAATCATCAGGGCCTTAGTTTGGCCAAAACTACAGCTGGCTATAGCAACCTTATGAGTACTGCACCGACCTGGGGCTTGTGCGGGCAGAAGGGCGATTTGTCGAACACCAGACATCAACAGCGTTCACAAAGTAGCAAGAGAAATACAAGCATGGCATTCGGCATCGCTGGGTCCGGCTCGAAGAAAAGCCGGGAAAGCTCCCCAACAAGAAACGAAAATTGGGGCCCCGCCCCTTTTGGCCTCGGACCGGGGCCAAGCACTCCCGGGCTTCTGCAGTGATGCGATCGTAGGGGAGTTGCACAGGGTGTGAAGGGCATGGCCCGTGCCCACATTCGTGCATAGCAGGCTGGAGGGAGAGAGTTATTCCTTTAGGTTTTAGTGTATGCCCATCGTCAAGCTCACATCCATGGAGAAAGGCTCGCGAAGCGTGAAAATTTCCTTGAGAACAGAAGCAGGCACCCAACGCATGAAGAGGGTCTCTTTCGCTGCGGGAGAGTTGGATCTTCGTTCGCAATGACATGTCACCAGGAAGGTGTGCCTTGTGACTGCCCAACCCCCACCTCATGGGAAACGTCCTCACACTCGGGCCAGTAAGAACTCTCAAGGATTCACGCCTGTTTTGAGCCTCGGAGGGTCCGGGGGCATCTCGTCCAAAAGACTGCTTCGTACTCTTCCCAACTTCAGCCGGTTGCCGATGTCGCCGGCTCGAAGGCGCGAGGCCGCCGTCCGCCACCTTCGCAAGTCCAGCTCGGGTCCTAGCCGGGAAAGCTTCCCCTCTTTATAGTAATACCCCGAAACAGGCGGGTGAGCAACCAATCTGGCCCGGGCGGCCAGGAGCTTCGGATGGGCTGCTGCTCTCAAATCCCGGCGGCGGCGTGGCAGCAGCTGGAGGGCGCCCATTGGCCGAAGCTCACCAAGGCGAACTTCACGAGGTGCCTCGGCTGCCTCGACTTTTGGGGCACCTTTTGAAGCATGCAGGGGGCGCAGTGGGGTCGAGGCAGCCGGCACCAAGCCACCAAGCCATTTAGTGGGAAGTTTCGATGCTCCCAGAAGCACAGTAAGGGTTCCAGCCCGAGGTGCTTCGGCTTTGGCTCCAAGAGTATCGAGGCTGCGGCTGGGCTTCTGGCCTTCCTCGGCCGCTGCCCCGAGCTGCAGGACACGACCGCCCACCTTTGCACAAGACAGTCTGTGAAGTCTTGCAAGCTGCTTTTTTTTTGGACCGTGCGCTCTTCGGGTTTGCGCGGGGCAGAGAGCGAACGGGCGAGCACCAGAAATCAACAGCTTTCACAGAGTGGCAACAGACGTATGCATGGAATTCTGCATCGCTCGCTCATAGTGGTGTCTTGGCTGAGAGTGCTTGAGTGCTTTGGCTGGTTTAGGGCTTTGCCAGGTCCTGACCCTGGGGCAATGCGACCAGATCCCGGCTGCGGCGTGGCAGCAGCTCGAGGGCGCCGTGTGGTCGAAGCTCACCAGGGCGAACTTCGACAAGCGCCTCGCCTTTCGGGCACCTTTCGGAGTGTTCTTGGATGCTCTCGAGATGGTGGTGGGGGTGCGAGGGGGTGGTCTGAGAAGTTGCCTTAGACCCAATAGACACAAGTAGCAGAAGCGTCCGAAGCTCTTCGGCACGGACTTCTGATTCAGCCCCGGCCCAGGTGCTTCGGCGAAACTTCCAAGGGCGCCGATGGCGTAGCCGGGCTCCTCATGGCCCTGGCCCGCTGCCCTGAGCTGGAGGACGCGAGCTCGTTGAGTTTGCAGCGAAGCATGCCGACGGAGGCCTCCTAGCAGGAAGCTTACATGAACCCGTTACCGTCATG